TCCAATTCAGTGGAATTTGGAAACCTTTTGAAAACATGTTTGGCAGAAAAATTGAAACAGGAGATTGCATGCTCCCTTGAAAATATTTCTAGTCTCAAAATATATTCGACCAGCTCCAAACTGACACTTTACAGACATTTTCCCAGGTTGGTTCACTAAAAAGATATCAAAAAGGTTACTCCTACCCGACTCTTGTTATCGATGGGGGGAGGTCTTGTGCATGTCCACAGCTGTAACAAAATGGTTACCTCACCTTACTGAACATGCAAATCTTGTTCCCCCGGCCTCCACTTGAGCTGTCTGACGTTACACCTTGCACCGGTTCCACACAAAATCCTTTCCATGAGTTCTCAAAGTTGGACCTTGCAATCCGGGGGTCTTGTGCATGTTCACGCCTACAACAAATGGTTACCTCACCTTATGAACATGCAAGCCGTGAATCCCCCCGGCCTCTACTTGGGCAGTCCTGCCTTCCCAGGAGAAGGTAAGAGGAAAATCAAACAAGGAATCCTTGGGCACTGAAAAAAAAACACAAACCAACCGTAGAATGAATGCGAGTTCAAACGTGAGGGTAACCTATTAGATTTATTTCTCACAAGATAATTTTGAGCCTGAGGGCAAAGTAATTGCCAGTTTGAGATGACTTTATGTCGTCTGGTGAAAGGCAGTGTTGGATATTTCCCCCTAAATTTTGAAAACTTACTATGAGTCAGATCTGTCCTTCCCTAGTCTCCAGGCAGAGTTGCATCAGGCCTCTGCTTGGGCTCTGCCACCTTCCAAGGAGAAGCTGAGAGAACAAGTGAAGAATCAAGCAATGGAACTTTTACCTCATGAAACATTATAAAAAGTGGAAATGTGTAAAGGTTTTATCCAAAATGCTGGATAGCCTATTTGTTTGACTTCTCTCTAGCAGAATGAAAGGAATGTTGCCAGCGGTTGAGATGACTTTGTAAAATTGCTGTTTTAGAAATGGCATTTTTTTTAGAGAGGTTTGGCTAAACTGTGACCACGTACTATAAATCACGCTCTTCTTTCCCGAGTCTGCAGGTAGAGTGGCACAGGACCTCCGACGTGCAAGGGTAGAGAACTCCTTCACTCTCAGACACTGATTAAAGACAAAGGTTACCAGTTCAAAGAAAGTTGGCAATCATTTGAAGAAAACTGTGCGGGTGCCCTGTCCTGAGATATTTGCCAGGGGGCTGGAGGATGGGTCAATGTAGAAACGTTGCGGAGGGCATTCTCTTGAAATAAAAGCCAGTGAACAATGATAGAAACCAGGACGGTAGACAGGGTTGACTTGCAAGCCTTAAAGCAAATCTCTATCTCAGAGATGTTTTCTGAGAACTTTCAAGTTCGACTCTTGACTATTAACATAGTGTAGATGTCAGTTTCTACAGCCTTCTTCATAGGAAGAGATTTGACACTCTGATCAAAGCTCAAAGTGTGTGTTCCTTTCATGTTGGGGAATTTAAGGGAGTGAAAGACTGGTACCAACTGGATACAATTATTACCTCCATGTGCATTCCTTGGGGCAGAGTACCTCCTCAGCAGGACACCAGCTGTTGCCATTTATAGTGTACCGGCTCCAGACATAAAAAGTCATTTTTGCCATGTTCTGTTATACTTCCTTACTACTGCCTCATCTTTCCTCTGTCAAATCCTCTGGTTTCTTTCCTCTTGTCCATTTGATATCCGAGTCCTCTTCCTCTTTCTTGTGTCCCTTTTCCTTTTTAGAGACGAACAGTTTGCCTCCTGCAAACTTTGGGCCTTCTGTCCAGTCCATGGATGTGTGTCCAAACTTTTGCACATGATATATTAGCCTGAAGACTGAAAGTTCCTCCTCTCCAACACTAGCTTCTCTGGATTTATTCAGTCAATCTATCTTGAAAGGTTTGTCCTTACTTTGTATACCATTCCTTTATGTATCCAGGTGTAAACCCAAAGTCAGGGAGCCTGCATTTAACACTGTGGCGACCGACCATGCTGATGGCCCATTCGGGGGAGTTAAGTGATTTCTTTTTAGCAAATACCACTATCCTGTTTGTTCGCATGACAGGAACTGTACGGTTGCTTGTGTTTGTACATCTCTCAAATCATTTTTCTCAATTTGCCCCTTTCAGACTTGTAAGATTTCCGTAGTCAGTTTATTTTGTTACCACAACCAGCTGGACTTCAAGCCAAGTCTGATGAAAGTTAATTCTGCAAGTAATTTCTTTTTGCAAAGTACAAAACTGCTTTTAGGCTACGGCCACCGTGGATGAAGATTTCTTGTTTTAAATGTGCAGGCACCCAAGCATCTGAGCAGTGCCTGTATTTAGCATTTCACTTTTCAGCATTTTGATATCATTTTCCCTTGGGATTAAAATTAATGATATCCATGGGTTACTGGTTAGTTTTTCTAGCGGTTAATGGTTAGTGATTGCATAATTATCCAGTGTTGCAGTCCAGTCACAAGTCCGACGGAGAACATTGACAGTGGAAATGCTTTAAATCAGTGTTCATCTGAATAGAATTTGATTCGATTTCCAACTTGATGGCTTGCAATGGACTTGTGACTGACTCGACTACAGCACTGTACAACAAGTAAACTGTAAGTGGTCAATAATGTTAGAACAGTTAAATCTGTTCAATTAGGAATGATCTCAAAATGCTGTTTACCGAGTTGGAAAATTGACACTGGAATGGTTACTTTCATCAACTTCGACTTCCTGCTGAGGCTCGATGTACATGTTAAAACATTACTGTCTCATTACCAAATTACATATCTTTTGAAATGAATACAGAGTTTTATCTTTTCACTTGTCAGGCAACCAGTATTCCAAAACAGTTTCTTCTAAATGCAGGTCCCAATCCTATCAGGCTAACCCAAGATAACTTTTGGGAATGGAAAAAGTCCATTGATATCAAATCTCATCTCGGTAGTCCACGACTCCACTTTGCGGTGGGCACCCTTCAGCAATGATTGCCCTCCAGCCTGTCTGCTTTGAGGTACATGTAACTTAGGCACAGAGTTGACAAGCTTGAATGGATAGATCATCATGCTACCTCAAGTGTGGCCTACAGAGACGGTGTAATGACTCATTTCTTTGATGCAGCGTTATCACAGCAAGCTTTTTGTACAAGTGTTTATTCCAACCTTCGCTGCAGTTCCAAATTCAGGTCCTCTGTGACCGACATCTGTAAAATAATAAAAGAATTACATTGTCTCCATTCCTAAAGGGCACTAAGAGAAGGATAAAATCCCACCCCATTTTTGTGCAAACAGCATCTTTAAAGATCTCCAGAACAATTTCTTCACAAGTGAGCCAAGAGGATTTTTTTTCTAATCTTTTCTCATATTTTTCTCCCTGTAACTTCAGCAATAATTCGATTGAGCCCAAGTTTCCAAGCAAGTTCTCCAGTTTTTTTTTAAATCTTTCGAAAAATTTCCAGGGCAGGAGGGGGCAAGTGACCCTGGACCCCTTGAGAAGCTCTGTATATGACTAAACTAACATCCAACTTTTTAAAAAGGTTGGCCATAATGATTGGTAGTCTGGTCATGCTCGTGGCAAAAACTCAATCAACAGTGGTTTGGGACCGAAGTATTGGACTCTAGCATTTTTCCTTGTATTCCGTGTTTTACTAGCATAATAGGACACTCACTTAAGATGCAAGTCCATAAATGTTAGGGTTTACTACTTTAAATAACTTTTTTGTAAAGCTTCATTCATTTCCTTCTCAAGTTTAAACCACACCAACGCCACAAATCAAACGACGTCACAGTCGGGTTTTATAAGATCTTCCGAAAAAATGCAATCATAGTTTGAAAGACCAGACTTACCTCCACTACAGTAAGGTCACATTGGTGTCACATTTGAGGTTCATAACAGCTCGGTCTAACTCTAAAAATGTTGACTTTTTTGGCTTATTTCGATACGGGTCTAGAAAACGATGCATCCTCGATGCCCGCGAATTTATGAATGCGCAACATACCACGTGTTGATCTTATTTGCATCCACACTGGTTCCCGTCTATCAATTGTCTTATCGCTCTCTTTTCAAGAGTAGTCAGGGTGAGAACCAACCATCATTGAAATTCGAAGGAGAGCCTTGAAAAGCAAAAAACCCTAGGTTGGCAACAGGTTCATACCTAAACGGCATATTATTGTTACTTTGTGTTAAAGACGGTAGTTCGTTCACACGGTTTGCAGTAACAGAATTTCTATAGTTGATTTTAGTGTTTTAAACCTTTTTAGAGTTTACACATTTTACGAATCGTTCTTCCATTTTTGTTCAGTCGGCCAGCAATGGTTTGTTTGTCTCATCAGTCACGTGGCCACCAATACACAAGCGCACAACTAGACTTGGCGCTTTTTGGTACCTGCGGCCAGCTTGGAGAACGTATTGAATGAATGCTCAATTTCGATACAGCCTTACTTCATTCAAGAAACGATAAAAAGCGAGGGGTGATTATTTCGTGTGCAACTTTTAATGAAAAAACGGGCAGTGTTTTTAATAGATTGGTTTATTTGTCGTGCTAATGTGACCTCTCTGTATACATTTGTCATTTTTAATCATTGAATAACCTTTCAGATGACATCATTCTGATCGCAAATCTGCAATAAATTGCCTACAGGGTACAATTTTCTTATACCCCAGTAGTGTTTGCAAAGTCTGGGGAATGCAGAGAAAACAGAGTTTGAATGCCCTAGGAAGCGATGGCGCTTGCAAATCACACTAAATGTAATTATGGCATTGCAAACTACAGTTATTTGCAAAGGCAAAGTTGACATTACACGTTTCATAGAAATTATTATCCTTCCCAAAACTCACCAGATCAATCTCCAATCACACTTTGGTCGTGCTTTTGATTTAAACCGTGTTTTGTATCGTTAAAGGACACGAATTCTTATAAATGAGAAACTGACAAACAAAGTCGGTAAGAGATGGTGTATTATGAATCGAAGACGTGCGCTTTGGAACTGAGGGGCCGCGGTAAGAAAAATGAAGTGCGCCCTCTCTGTTTAGTTGGTACCCGCAGAAATTACCTGCGCACATTTTGAGACGTGCCAAGAAGCGGCCACGCATGTAATACCATTCTGTTTTGGTACAGTCGGGCTGGCGTGACGGTCATGGATTTCGGCTTTAAATTCGAATTGATTGTTCTCAGTTTTTGAAATTCTTATCACTTTTTAGCGTGGGATTTGCAGTACTGATGGCCCAGTCCGTGTATTTCTGCAGTCAGCAATGGATTCTGATGTAGGAGGTATCAGGGAGGACGCGAAATTAGAGGACATCGAATAACATTTCTGAAGTTCCACTTGCCGTTGTCGCGTCGCCCGGCCAAAGCAAGTCGTACCGCGTGAGAAAGAACCGTGTTGCGGTGTAAAGATTGTCATCGACCGCTTGGAGTTTACGTTTCACGCTTGAGAGTCGCTCAGTGGAGTCTTTGCCACTCTGCAACCATGGAAGTAAATGCGGAGAGAGATTGTAGTGTCCTTGGAGGCCTGTTTCAGACCATCATCAATGACATGAAAGTAAGTCAAGAACTTTTTGGGTTTGAAATTGAAGTACTAGACCTGCTAAAGAAATAATTTTGGACCCTCCGAGCATGCTCAGGTAGGAATTTGTTACAAAGTGGACAGCCTGACAATGACAGTGAAGTCCTTGCTGAAAGCGATTTAAACGTAAAGGAACTAGTTCTATATACGGACGCTACCCCCAGAACTGTGAGGTCCGCTCCGCTAGTGGAGCAGACATCGGACTACTCGACACCTCATGCACAAACCTTATGAAACTCATCTGAAAAATTCTAAGTATTTTGTAAGTAAACAATGTGGTTTTTACCCTTCTAAATTGAACTTTTCTTGACCCGTTTTTGCTTTGTGACGGCTAATAGGTCACTGTTGGAATAATTACTGGTGTCCGCATATGGAGCTCTTCCCAACAACAAACTCCTAATATTTTGATTTGTATATTTCAGGTCACTGTGGTAGTGAGCAAGCAGTTTGTAGGTCTAGCACTTTGTTTTTATTTGGTAAGGGGCCGTCCATAATTTTCATCATTCTCATACATGTAAGTGTGCAAAAGGTGGACTTTTCACACCCCCAAGTGTACGTGTACATCAGTGGGCAAAATATGATGAGGGGTGGAGTGCTGACAAATCTATTGATGGATCATCGTTTTTCATATTCAGAAAAATTGTACACAAGGCCTTGGACCCCCCCAACGGTTTGCAAATGCACGCTCATGAAAATGATAAAAATTATGGACAGCGCCTAAGGGTTCGTATCCAGCCACCGCTACATTGTAAGTTGCTGTGCTAACTTGCCATCAAACTTAACAAAGTCCGTAGTTGTGTTTTCATGGAAGACCCGTCGACAGAATTTTTTCCCAAGTCTATTCTGCTTGGAAAAACAATAAAATTATTCAAATAAAACTTGTGTTAGGTGATACGTCAAAAATTGTTTTAAATCTAGAGAATCACGGCAGCCGGATGCAGAACTCTTTCCAAGGAAGGCTCATCACGTTCATCTCATCATGGTTATAACTTACGTGCATCAGTGCCTTTTCCACCCACTTTCCCAGTCCAGATTTAGACAGATATCTTCTAACAGTGTTTGATTTCAGAGACAGGGTTATTTAAATGAAACAGTTGAAAAAAAATTGGTTTAAAGAACAATAAGTGAAATAGCGGAGTACATGTTTTCCACAAGAATGTTTATTGAATATATAAAATGCCATATTTATCCCCATTTCTCCTGAGCTAGGACAATGAACAGCTTAGCATACACTGTGTAACATTATGCGGACACAGTTTAAACAATGCTTCAAATGCAGAACAGACAAACTGCTAGACTTACCACTGAGCCCTGTGGGATATCAGTCCTTTGTTGGTTTTGGAGGAGTACTCCAGAGGCAATGGCTGAATGGCAAACAGACAGGTGCAAGGCACCTGCTCAATAGATGGTCCATTGTCATTCCAAGTCACTAACCCACCTTTGTGCCCATTGTCATAAAAGTAACTGTTTGATCCCTGCCAGAATACCCTGTAGGTACATGTGCATGGGCACACCTTTGATGTAGAACTTAACAAGATCCCTCTGGTCTGTTCTCTGTGCCTAATGTATCTTACTGCATGTACATGTGTGAAATTACGCTCTGAGCAACCACATACATACATGTGTGCTCAAGTCATCACTGTGTTTGTGATGAAGATCCCCCATGACCAACAAATCATTTGGACTAACTGAACATCCAACATTTGAGAAGCTTAAACCAAGCTTTATTCTCATGCGGCACTGAACCTTGAAGTTAATTGCAACACGATTGTTCATCATTTTCAAGCTGTTCAGAAGGAAATCACTTTTTTGTCTCAGAAAGTACATGTACACGGATGCCATAGGGAAAAAAAACGGTATGTACATGTAGCAGGCATCGTTTACAATCAAATGAACGCCAGATTGCATCAATCAAAACGTCAAACCTCTAAGGGGGGGTTCCGTTTAAACGTCTAGGAAAATCTGTAAACCGATTTGGAACTGTTTTCGTTGAAACCTGTAAATCTCCCACCCTTACATTAAACACACCTACATGTACATACAATGTATGTCAAAGCCCATTTGTTCCATTGTTGTGACCTTTAACATTGAATGTTATCAGTTTGATTTTGCAATTCAGTGGGGCAGACATAGACCTTGGTGAGCAAAATTTGCAGAACTCTGCATCCCTGTTGGCATGTCACCTTTTCAATGGTTGAGTTATCGTGCAGCAACACATTAGCAAATGGATGTTTGGTTCCCTGTCTCGACGCTTTTTCCCAATAAGGCATGTGTGATGTACGTCATGTACACATTACATGTACTTAATACAATCTATCCACAACTAAGAAAATGGCTGTGTAGTTGCAGCCTGTGCCGGTGAGAACGTCAGTGGGAAATTGTTTGCACTATATTTTCTCAGTACTTACTGAAAGGCTTATGTTATATGTTATTTACCTGCATGTCTTAATGATGATGATGTGGGAAAACGTCAAGATGTGGTGAAAGGATTACAATATGTCAGCTTCAAGGCTATGTTTATATCCCAGTGTATAATTTTAGCACATTTTCTAGTTTTTCCCCAAATTCTGTCATTTGAAAAAAATAATAATCAGTAGAAGGAAATTTGATTTCCTGGTCGACTAATCCTGGTTAATCCTGTGTGCATCAAAACAAGCCGAGATCTTAAAATAGCCGTCAGTTTGTTTTCCCAAGTCTTCAGTCCTCACACATTTGCACTTGTTTCCGTAGGGGGTTTGCTAGACAGATCTGTCCATCTGAGCCCTTGTTGTTTGTTCCTGGCTAAGATTGGCTGTTGACCTTGTAGTGACCTTAGCGGTCCAATTGCTGTGTTTCTCTCATAAGTGGAAGCAACATGGGGTCTTTCAAGCCTCTCGTTTAAACTGTACTCCTTTTTTGTATTGAGCAGGTTCGTAATTACATGTAAAACTTGTTTTGCTGGTGTCGCACCTGTAGGGAACACAACATCCAGTCGGAACCCATTTTAAACCGGGCCTTAAAATCCGCTTAAAATTAACCGTCCCAGATGAGATCATTCAAAGTTCTGAGATTTTCAAGTGATATTTTCGCATTGAAGAAGAGCTTCAAGTATACATATCAGGCCTCACATATATCCATGTAGCTAAAATTTTGTTGCTGGATTTTCAATTTAGGTTCAGGAAAGCTGCATCCATTACATGCATAGCTACAGGACACATATATAGTGAAGATAAAGCCAGAGGCAACGGGTCTAATTACTACCGCATAAAGATGTAATCAATTCTGATTGCTTCCTACCTGCTCTTATGTAATGTTAGGCATGCATGCACGTACATGGATTCTACCTGTCATTGATAAAGAAAAAAGTCTGCCGAGGGTTAACTTACAAATAGGGTTTTTTTTTGAGTGGCCCGATGGCACTTGCTGTGCAGTAGGTGCGTTTTGCATACGTGAGTGTACATGTGTGGGAAAGGGCAAACATGGAGTTTACCTACCAAGCAATTAATTAGACACGGTGGGAAATACGACAGCCTCGTTGGAGGCAAGGCTAGGCTGGGATGAGAAGATAGCAGTTCTGCTGATCGTAATTTTGCTTGTAGCAATCCAGGAATGAAAGCGTGTTTTGAACGGGATACATGTATGGCCCTACACCGCAGGGAAAAAGCTGCAACTCGTATCGTGGTCACTACATGCGAACACCTTCCTTTCAGTTGTATACATAATATTTCATTGTGCCTTGCGGACTGAGTAACATGATACATGTATAAATATATGTGTGTAATTGATCACAAGGTACATTGTAACATGTATAATATGTGCATGGACTTCATATACAAGGGAAAAAATGAAGTATTAGTCCGCACGAATGTGACGCATTAGCCCATTTATGTTGGCCAGTCAAGGCTTACCTGAAGTGTTAAACGTTACCGACGGTCAGCATATGTATGACTACTGTACGCTTGCATTTAATTAACATAATACAAGACATGCAAGATGACATACTGTACATATACATACAGTTAGTGTACAAGTACTGTACATGTACGTTGAGTGTTGAACAATGTCTGTTGGTCTGCATTCTCGTCCATTAGCAAACCAGTACAGTGTACAGTACAGCATAATTATGGCTGGGGCTTGTTGACCACAAGAGGAATAAGACTATTGAAATTATGCACACCGTTCTCATTCCTCATAATAATTTTTCTCCTTTGCAGGCAGGATTTCAACTTGGAGATACGAGTGATTTTGTTTAGCTACTGGTAATCATGCACTCATGAAACTGAACTTTGAACAACTTGTGAGTCGTTTGGCATTTGGCACTGTGTGGCGTTTGTGTGAGTCATGATGAAATAACCATCTCCCCGCAAGTGCTGTTCTTGCCAAAGGGCCATTTCCAATCTGATTGGTCAAGTTCTGAATATCTGGGAAACTTGTCACTGTCTTTTCTGACCTTTTTATCTCGATGCTTGTCTGCAGGGTTCTGTTCCTGTCTGGGAAGACTTCACTAGCAAAGCTTCCAAACTACACACACAACTCAAGTAAGTTTGAAAAGGCTGCCCACACACCGTAGTACAGTAACTATAGTGAAACCTCCGTAAAAGTAGAGCTCTATGGATGCAACATTCTGCTTTTATTACAGGAATTTCTTTTAGTTTCAATCCTTTGTTCTTCATTCTTTTAATTCCTTGTAATACAAAGTTCCAGTTATAACAAGGTAATCTGCAAAATTCGAAGGACCTCTTGTATCGTCAAGGCTCAACTGTACGTATAAGAGGTAATGAAGTCTTAGCCAAAACCTGGCGGACGGCAAACACTTTGAGGCAGTTAAATTAACGGCACAATGTACGAGAGGTGTTTTATACCCCAATCATTACAGAAGCTTTCATCGAGTTTTGTAACTGTACCCCAAAGAGCGCGGCACCAACAAAACTGATTTGCCTGGTATATATTTTCTCTGTGTTGTTTGATACTAGTTTCGTGCAAAAAGACCACAAGATATGCTTGAATGTCAGCAGTTGCGTAAATGCGTTTGGGACTATTTTTATGCGGACATATTACTTTTACAGGACCACGATAGTTGCTGTGAGTGCATTCTTAGAAGCCTTTCAGCGCATTGCGGATATAGCCACCAACTCCAGAGGTAAGAATCTTACAAAAAATGTCACAGCTAGATGACAGAATAGTCAAAGCAGAAGTGTTGAACTATTTTGTTTGTGAAAATGAAATGCGGTTAATCATGAAATAAACACATCAAGCTCTAAATGTCATTTTAGAAAAATAACTAGGTCTTCAAATAAATAGTTCGGTTCGTTTGCAGTTTACTTTGCAGTTTCAATTTATCATTTAAAAAAAAAAAGCTGTTGTTTATGTTAATTAAAGAGGAAAATGTCCCAACCCCGTGTAATGAACGCTTTACCTAATGCACCCTGAGCGCAGCATGCAGATGGAATGCGTAATGACCGAAGCTGGCGGCAGGGTGTCACTGCACGTGGCTGGAGTAATGAAATCCTGTCACTCGTTGAGCGTGATTCGTGCCCCATGTCACATCTCAATATTGTTGGCCCTCCTGCCCGGGGCCGAGCGGGCGCTACTAGCCCTCCAGAGATGCCATCCACCTTGGTAACTCCTTCATCAGCTGCTATTTTACTGACTGATGTCTGAATTGGGAACATCTTTGAATTGGATTGCTACATGTGGCATGAGTTACATCTACTGTACGTCAAACAAATGCTAAGCAGTGCATCGGTTGTATTGCCACACGACCTGCTGACCCAGAAGTCTATTTTAAAAGCATTTCAGTTGAGTCAGAAGTGTCACATGAAGAAGATGCACAGAATGGCCACAGCTGACCTAGTTCTGGCTTAGCATTTCTTGGACAATTTTTTACACAGATATAAAATATCTGTGTATGTCTGGAATTTGTTACAATGTACATTTTGAAAATTTCATCCTTTTGTTATATGCTTCAAATCTGAGAAGAAATTGGCCTTGAAATACCTCGTACTTCTTTCAGATGTGGAACAGAAAGATAAATATGTACACATCACAATGCAGGGTAAGGGTTGTCGATGGACCTTTAAAAAGTAACTCTCTAGAGTTATAAAGAAAGGTGATTTCAAGAACAAGTGGGTAAATAAATAGCACAATAGACATATGCCAGGTTTCATGCTAACCTGAGATCCAGACAGTACAAAAATAACACTCTCATCAGAACCTGAATATTTAGAATTTAAGTTTTCACTGGCGAGGGAGCTGGTACCCTGCTCTGATGTCATTCCCTTCGTTGCAACTCATGATTGTTCTCCCGCACGCGTTACCAGCCACCAAAAGACATCAGCCTGACCTGACGAAAAGAATGATTAATTTAGGGTTTGAGATTTATGATCGTTATGTCTTCATGACAGCGTGGTCGATCACAGTGTTTATTTGGAAAAGCAACCAGCCCCCCCCCAATCTGGAAATGTACTGACCCGTCCAGCACCACCAACTCCGCAGGGAGGAAAATTGTGCCTACCACTTCCTCCCAATTTTATTATTATAATTTTTGGGAGCTTTATAAACACGCTGTCATTTTGCTATCTCCTTTAAGGTTTATGGTCTTTTTGCGTTTGCCTGTCATAAACATCAGCATACACATGTTTGGACAATTTTAAACAAAAGCTATTGCGAGCTGCATTGTTTATGAATTACCGGAACATGAGTCATTCTACAGGTTTAACATAATTCATAACATTTGAACTCAGGCCAGTGCAGCTTCTAGGTACGGAATATTTTTAGGCGTCATCAAAATTGGCTCGAGATGGTCTATCGCTTCAAATTCAGTTGCCCTCTGTGACGGTAAGAAGGCTCTTGGCGATCCCATTGGACAGTCGTCAGTGACGCTACTCTGAAACATTTGCCTGAATTGACATGTCTCTGAAAAGCAATTGCCATCCAATCGTCGCACTTTGCAATCCTTACTGACCTGATTTCTGATGTGAACGATGTGAATTCTGTTCAAAAACAGGCCCTGTTTGGGGATTGGACTCGTCTTGTTTGCCAAAAATTTTTCAGATGAATTTGCTTTCAGAGCCAGCACATTTCTAGAGGAGAGTTTAAGTGGTGTTTTGCCCGGAAGCTTGCATGCTGCACAGCCTACTTAGTGAGCTGGGCACTTTTGTGCCCACTGGAATTGATTTACCGGTAACACCACAGGAAACAGTAACCACTTGGAGCAAAATGAAACTGCAATTTGCAGTGAATTTTTCTTCAAGCTCAGCCTTCCGTTCTCTCGCTGTGCACCTGTTTTTATTCAAAGTGTTGTTTGCGTAAGATAGATATTTTTCCCCTCAAGTTTCCATTGTTGTGCATGCTCAGAAAAATCCCCTGAAGAATTTTAAATCCTCTAGGTTGCTGACAGCAAACACACACACACAAGTCCTTGGCTCAGTGAAAACAGTGATAGAGAGAGACCTCTTTGCTGCTGAGAGCCCCTTGGGTTGCTGAAATCATGAAACAAGCAAAAAATCAAACAAACATTGTACCTGGACTGCTAAAATGTACATGTACAGTACATGTACCCAGTACAGTGTTCATGTACATGTACCTTATACCCAGTGCAGTGTGTATGTACCCAGTGCAGTGTACATGTACATTTACCCAGTACAGTGTACATGTATGTACCCAGTACAGTGTGCATGTACCCAGTGCAGTGTACATGTACATGTACCCAATACCCAGTGCAGTGTGTATTACCCAGTACAGTGTTCATGTACATGTACCCAATACCCAGTGCAGTGTGTATGTACGCAGTGCAGTGTACAGTGTACATGTAAATGTATGTACCCAGTACACTGTGCATGTACATGTATCTCAAAGCAGCATCTGTATACGTGTGGTAAATGTGTACATGTCCATGTATTGGGTCAACGTACGAGTTGTATTTAATACAGACACTATTTCCAAATCGCGAGATATTAGATGTCTGTTTGTTCTGGCTGTTGAATTTTGTTGTTTTTGGCAGGCTTTGCTCTTCGGTAGCTCGGGGATGTACTGATATATACATGTACATGTACATGAAGCAGGACACAGTGCACAGCAACTTGAAGACCGTGCACAGCAGGTTGAAGACGATTCAGCTAAGTTCACATCCAAGAGTGTATTTGGATACAATCAATACACATCACCATCTATATCCATCGGTGATTCATTAGTGAAAGTACTGTTTGTGTGGGTTATCGAAACTGGAAACCAATGCGTGATACCAGTGGAAGTTATTGAGGAGGTGAGGCGGCCCTATGGTTTCCTGTTCCCTGTAGTGGTCACCAGCTCCCTGTAAGGGCATTCCAGCTGCATCATGGGATATATTGATTTGGAGGTAATTGCGTGATCCTCAGTGGCCTAATTTGACCAGAAGCAAGAGTGTTCCGTTGGAGGAAAACCTCATTATGAGTATACACCTTGCCGATAGATCTGTCTTAGGCATCATACATATACCAGCACTGTATGCGCACAGAGTGCATTGTGCGATTTCCACTCAGAAATGACAAGAAGCTGTAAGCACATTTCCGCTGTTCTCACAACAGACCCTGGGTCAGACAGCTGTACTGCAACTGTTTTTTCCCAACATTGAACTGCAGTTTATGAAGCAGTTCCCATCCTGTGTTTTTGTATTGAGTTGTCTTATGACTCATGGCCCGGATCAGGGCCGGACTCGTCACTCTTTTGTTTGCTGTTACCTGTGCTAAGACTCCAGCCACAATGATGTCCGCAACTCAGATGAGACCAGCCAAGTTGTCTAAAAATTGGACCAAGTTTGGGCTTGAACTATAGTCCGACCATCAGTCGTTTGTGTTCTACCAGTAACAAGGGGCCTTCATGGCAAAGTCCCACTCAAACAACGGAGTCTAACCATTTTGTGGAATCGTTGCTCTCATTTTGCAACTGTCATTGTGTACATGGTCAATGACATCTCCTACAATTCATTTCAGTGGCTCCCCCGTATTAATAAATGATATTGGCTATTGACAACCAGCGGTGTGACCATGCCCTAGGGACGGTTTGCAATTGGTCAACTACAAGTAGATGGTCCAAAGCGTCCATTGATTGGTCGAAGTGTGGTTAACTATAATCATTGCTCGAACATTACCCAGGAGTTTGAAATCTCACACATGGCACAAATTTGACAGCAAATTGCCTAATCATCCCTGTTTTGAAACGCTGTTTTCGACTGATCTTCCTGAAATCAAATTTATGTATTTTAGTCACGTATTGGACTTGCTGTCAAAGTAAGTCACTCGAAATTACTCAGTCTCAAAACTTGTGTACATGTGTACTGTACATGTTCGTGCTTATAAGTAACATGGCTCCGATGTACAGAACCCTGAGTGAAGCTCAAGGTCTCAGGACTTGATCGTAGGTCCACCGAATTGTATACTCATTTCAATTTGTGGATTGTTTTCGAGATACTTGAGTCAACAGACCAGGTAGAGCGGGCTGTTTGTGATCCTTGGATTTATGGGAGCATTTCTGTGGTATCCCACACAAGGTCCAACGCAGAGGCTGATAGACACTTGAATTGAACTGTCACTCGGAGTGGCTTTACGGCTGCCAAATACCTATGAGCCTCAGCAGATGCCGGCCCACACAATTGCTGGCACGAAAATCCCAAACCTTCATGCCACTGCCAAGCCAGTGAGACCAACATATTGAAGTTGCTGTGTAAGTTTTTAGTGTCATGGCGCTAAATCGGGGGATAATCTTGCCTAAAGCCCGCTTTTCAATTCCTAAGAACGGTTCCAGTCACAAACATACTCGCTTCATTCAGGGCACCGGCGTGAGGAGAAGAACACAAGTAATGTACATTACCGAGTTCTAACCGCTGGCTTTGTTAGAAATGTTTCAGCAGATTTTTCCTTTCAAAAATCCCGTGATGGATTTGCACGACCGACTCCTGTGGCTTTGAAGTCTGTGTTTAGACACTGGCTCAATAATTGGTTATTTTGGCTGGGTTTGTGCCGTCCATGTCCTTGTACAGTTCGTTTGCTCAGTTGGGCTCTGACAATGAAAAATTGGTCCGCAGTCTCACCCTGCTGTAGATATTCATGCAGTGAAATTGGCCCACTCAGGGACAATTATCCAGGTTGGTTGAATTTTGAAAAG